TAACAGTCCGAGTAGCATTGTTTACAAGCAAGGTTTGTTGTAGTTTGCGGCGATATTTCAGAATTCAAAAGATCTCTCTATTTCGTTACAATTCCACATCTCAGTATTAAATAAATAGCCTTTAGGATAGACTTCAGCAGGTAAATAACAGCAACATCGGTCGGTCTAGAGATCCATTTTCTTGCATGTAATGTTTACAACGATGTCAATAATATCAACAACAAAATTACCGATATGGATATCGATATCATCACTATTTTGCAGAACGGCGGCGATCTTCTTTGTAACCTACAGAGTACAGTATTAAATGACTGTATATATATACATGAAGACCACCATAGATGTCAAATGATATGTCATATTATTTCATTAAATGGGTAACTATAATCTATACTCCGCAGTTCCATAGCTCTGAAAGCATATTATATGCCGGTTATAAAAATTTGACTATCTAGTGGATAGCACTATTCAGCTTTCGTACATGTGGCCCTTCAGCCATATTCCTATTAAAGAACTACAATAATTAATTTAGCTGTCTATAAGATTATAGCGTCCAAATAGTTGACTGCTATATGGGACGTGAAGTTGAACTGTTCCATCCACACTTGGTTATTTATAAACCGATCTTACGATATCAACTACGTACCCTTAAATCCTTAATGCGCTCTACGTACATTTGGGAAAGCCTCAGAAAAGAAACACGCATATGCATTCCAAAAGGAAAAAGATAAATATGCGGAAACACTTTGTTTGGAACCCACGACTTTTTATCGGGATCCACGATTTTTTATTCGGGACCCACGACTTTTTTCCCAGGACCCACGACTTTTTACTCACGACCCACGACTTTTTACCCACAACTCACGACTTTTTACTCGCGACATTCTACACACGGCCCACGAGATTCTACCCACGACTGTTAGCTAGTCCCGCTTTGAGTATTCAAATAAAGACTTTTATTTACTATTATTATCCATAAGTACAATTTCTTACGCCGCCGGTATGTCCGGGAAAAAAATTTTGGTATCCTCCCCCCCCTAGCCTGCATGGCAGGCGGTACGTAGGAAATACCGCCTGCCGCAAAACTGGGTGTAAATGAACTACCGCCCCTGAAGCATCAACGCTATTTATAGATGCATTAATTAAGTAAATATTCAAAATTAGCCACTCCCAAGTCCCAACTGCCCAACATAAAATAAATTCCTTGATTCTCATCACCGCCCGACTGAATTTTAAAATCCTCGCGAAAACGTTTTATTTTTAGTTATACAATATAAATGTACCGCCCGACAAAATAATTCAAGACAGTTAATTTTTTCATATTTTATATAGATTTTTTGTTTACAACTATACATATTCAACGGGTATATAAGAGTTTAATTAACAGTTATTTGATAATTACTGCATCAACCGGCCCCTTGTTTATACTTTGGAGGTTCGTATATAATATCTATCAAGTATCTTTGGTTCAGAACATGACTGATAGGCCTATATGGAAATCCCACTGTTCGATTCAGTGAAGAAATATCTCCTAATTTCTATCGATAGTTTTAGTAAAATGTCAACATTATTGCGATTTATGGCCTTTGAAAGTCAAGCGAGATAGTATATTATCAAATTAATACGCATGTAATTGTCTGAACGAAAATATAGACTAGCCCATACCTTTCGCCGATCATAACTTCGGCCCCTTCGGACGTATCTTCTTTGTTAAATATTCTTGTTCGAATCTCTATCAAAAACACTATTTAGAGTGTTATTTTTCAGCTTGTATCTTTTAATTTGCTTCTTTTATTATGTTATTCAATTTCTGGTCTGACTTGACGTGAACTAATTTCAAAACGCAGAGTTTCAAAACGTCAAAACATTTGGTTAATGATTAACATTTAACCGAATTTAGCCGTTGATTGACAACTACATAAAAATACTAACCAATCCGTTTTTCCCGTTCACCAGCGGACGGGCAATTCAAAAACCCCTAGTTTTGCGGCAGACGGTATTTCCTTTGCTTCCCTAATTTTCGCTGCCCGTAGAAATACCGCCTGCCGTGCAGGCTATCCCCCCCCCCTAATTTAGCGAGTGCGAATACAAATTTACATTCGCAGTCGCTAAATTTACATTCGCACTCGCTAAATTAAGGGGGGGTGGTGGAAATTTAGCGAGTGCGAATGCAAATTTAGCGAGTGCGAATGGAAATTTAGCGAGTGCGAATGTAAATTTAGCGAGTGCGAATGCAAATTTAGCGAGTGCGAATGTAAATTTAGCGAGTGCGAATGCAAATTTAGCGAGTGCGAATTGAATTTAGCGAGTGTGAATTGAATTTAGCGAGTGCGAATTGAATTTAGCGAGTGCGAATTGAATTTAGCGAGTGCGAATTGAATTTAGCGAATTTTGAAACAAACGGACGACCATATGTTTAAGGTATGGGATATTAATAGGACGGTTAAGAAGTATGTTGTAGCGAATACAATAGACCAATTGAGGATTAAAGGTAAGCTGTTACGTTTGTACACTATTTAATTTCGCGGTGGCACTTTTGGCCATTATGATTAGAGGCAGCCCATGCAATAATAACTAGGCCAGTGTTAAATATTTGACTAACTGCATGATATTCAAATTAAAAAAAAACGTTGAATATGGCAAAAATATAAAAAAGTGTTTGAGATATAAACATACAGTATATTATATGATATGTATTTGACAAGTTGTGCAGTTCGACGTGCTTGCTACGGGCGACGTCACATTATTCATTAAAGTTATAGTTCTAGTCTTTTATTTCTGCAGTTCGAGTGTTTGACTTGCTTGCTATACAGGCGACGTCGCTAATTGCATATGCATTATAGATATAAGTTATATATTTGTTAAATGTATCATGTATGGCAAGAAAATCAAACTAGTTAAACATCGGTATATAAACATTGATCTAAAAAATAAATATAACAAATACTCGAAATATTTTAAAACTATAGTCTAGTACATCTAGTACTATAGTTTGCAACTTTTTTGAGGAAACATTTTCGCGAATTTGTTTCAAATATGTTGTCTGCGCACAGACTGTCCCTTCTCCCCAGTCAGCCCAGTGTGACCAGGATTACCACGCTACCATATTTTTCCAAAAAATGTTGGCGGGAGGGGGACAAAAAACTTTTCCGGACACCACCAGTTAAATTAAGATTCAAAAAAATTTTTACGGATAAATTTCCTGTTAAAACATGGCCAAAACCCATAAAACATGGCCAAAAAATGTAATATTTGGGTCTGCAAATTTTATTTCTGGAAAAAGTACCAAAAATAGCTGACTTAATTGACTTTTTTAGCAATTTTCAGATTAATAACCACAATTCAAAAAATTACTGTAGTAATTACCACAAATTTCAATTACCACAATCGTCCAAAAATGACGAAAAATTACCACGGTAGTAATGAAATTACCACATCTGGTCACACTGGTTCTCCCCCAGTTTAGCCTGCGTTGCAGGCGGTTTTTAGGGAGACGAAAAACCACCTGCCACGCAAGCTACCCCCGGTTCGATTCTCCGCGTATAAATAGATATAATAGTGAGTTTAAGATACCCCGGTTTCGGTTTACGGGTAGCATGATTTTGGTTAGCAATATTTTCAGCGATGTCTGTACTTTTCTCGTAATTAAGGTGCACAATTTTCGCATTATATCATTGTCTATTGCAAGAAAACAGAAAAAGTATGATCGAATTACAGACATCAGTAAAAACTAGTAAACACGATGACACTATACTCGTACCTGTACACCGAAACCGGGGTATCTTAAACTCACTAATACTGCAATCTCTGTCCCAGGAGGGAAGACACGGCCTTTTTTAAGAATTTGTCAGTGGAGGGACTCTCAAGAGAAAGGGACCCAACTAGGAGGTGGCAGGGACGTCGCTACCTAAATTTTTTTTATAACCCCCCCCCCCTTTTTGGGAAGAATTTTAGGAGTTGGTGAAAATGCTATAGAGTATAGGAAATGTTGGTCAAAACAAGACGACCCCCCCATGTTGATGCCTTCGCCGACGTCCCTGGGAGGTGCTGAACAATTGGTTATATATTTTATCCGCTAGACAAAGATTTGGTCATGGGAATACTAAAATACTCTTCTTAACTAAGTTATTCTTCCCCTTTTTGCTTATATTTTAGACAAAAGAGACCTTCACTGGGGGAACAACATAGTCAGGGTGTTAGCTACAGTAAACGCAATTTCCCAATTTGGGTCAGCCAAAAAATAGTTATGGAAATTCAATGTTGTTAATACGCCATTAAAAAGATATTTATACCTACATTTTCTCAAAATTACTCCCAAAATGAGGCAAATACCATTTCAAAGATACAAAAATTTTAAAAATCGAGAGGAGGCAACCGCATGCCCCCAGACCCACACTGATAGAAATGCCCAGCTTCGGGCTAAAATAATTTCACAATTTCAGGTGAACGTTATTTTTTTTTACTTCTGGCTAAGCCCAGTCTATGGTATTAAAAGAGGTCCCGAGGGAAGAGCATGGGAACGTCTAATGACCTTGTTCACATAATATAAATTCTATGAAAAGTAACACATTGGATAATAAAATTAGAAAGCCACTTGCTATAAAAAGGTCATAAAGTTTAGAATTTAGATTAGGGTTAGGGGTTAGAAGTTAGGGTTGGGGTTTGGATTAGGGTGTGTAATTGTAAACCCATTACATTTTGTGCTCAGAGGTTTGCAGGTTCAGGTTTCGAGATTGAACTTTAGTGGCTTTCTAATTTTGTTATCCAATGGCAATGCGTTATTTTACATAGAATGTGTGTTATGTAAACAAGGTTATTAGACAATAGACAAGGTCAAGCAAAACAATACAACGAAATCGAAACATAAACTTGCAAAAAAATTAAAATATGCAGGATTTGCAAATTCTACCAAATTTATTCATCTCAAAAAAATTAATTGCTCTTTTTATGTCTTCTCAACAATGTCTGCCCAACAGCACCTAGAAAACTTTTGTAATCGTTACTGAACCGGTATACTCGTTTCGGAATTAGTTAATTAAGCGAATTTATGCAAGTATAATTTTGAAACGAACCAATGAAAAATTGCCGATCATATTTCGCCGGTAGCTCTACGGCATTAACGTCGAATGAAGACCAATGAAAGCAGACTGTTTTCCCGGGAACCAGGGGGAGTGGGATGCAATCTGTGAGCAGACTATTTTAAAATCTGCATGCCAAGAACCAGTGGCGCCGCCAGGATTTTATTGGAGGGGGGGGGACTTACCAATTTGTGACTTACCATTCTAGGGGGGGGGGGTCTGGAGGCTTGTTCCCCCAGGAAAAAATTGAATTTTGGGTTTCAAAAAGGAATTCCCTTATGTTAAGAAGAAGAGGATTTTACGTGAATTTGACGTTGAAGGTTTCAATTAAATTATGACAGATTTGCATAGATTGCATAATGACGCTTGTGTGGGGAGCCAGCAGGCAAGACAAACTCGATCGATTACGCGGATATGTTTTCCCAGAAAATTTTGACATCTAGAATGTTCCTGTGTTCTGGGGAAGATTTGACTTGCAAAATTCTCATCAGTTAAAACATAACCACCACAAAAAACTGTTTCAAACCAATTAGTAACGGGGAATCATGAATATTCAATGGTGAAACAGCATTTTCATATGACGAATACACAATCCCATTGACTTCTGTGTATTATTTAATCTGATGCAGCATAGTCACATAGTGCCAGTCAGTTTAAACATTGTACAAGTAGCCGAAAACGTTTTTCGTTTTAGGCCGAATAACCATAACTTATTCGTATGGGCTGTGGTATGGGATGTGTGACGATTGTTATCCAAACATATTTTTTTATATTTTAGCCATATTTCACTGATAAAACTTGCATTCCTATTTATTCGGTTGCAAACACAGAAACAAGACCTATCACCGGCGTATTCGTATTTTTATAATTCGGCGTATTTTGATAACCTGCCTTGCGACGAGGTACACATGTGATATACACGAATCTTTCTTGCCAAAGTAACCTTAGTAACGTACTTTCAGGAAGGATTTATAATTGCCTCCAGTCTTGCCATCCGGCTCCCAGGCTCAAAACTTTCCTTCTAGTCATAGTTAGTTCACATTATATTGGGCAGCTCAGTGTTGCCTAGACTGAATTAAATACTATCATGCAATTAATTGCATACAATAATCAAGATGATCAAGCGCATAATTAAGATGCGCGGTAACTGTAGTTTTTATTACAGTATTAGCCACAATATATTTAACATGTTCAAACAGTAAAAAAACAAAATTAAATTGAAACAACAAAAAGAAAATTCATAACTTATGTCTTTTTAATTCCAATCTAGGAATGGAAAAATTAGGATTAAAAGAAGATGGACTGCGTATTTTTGATGCGGAAGATGGAACAGAAATTGATGAAGACGAATGTCTTTTGGAATATGATAAAGGAACTACTTTTCTTATTTCAAAAGAATGGAAATTTAATCCTGAAACACAAATTGTCGACAATGTTGATGAAATCATAGAAGTTTCTACTCCAACGTCTCTAATTACAGAAAGCCAGGATCAAAACAAAAATAGCGAAGAAAGGAATGTCGAAGCTGGAGCTACAATGCAAACGAATGTTTTTAACGGAGTAAAAAAAGATGAACATGCAGAAGAAAAGAAAGAAAAAGTTCCAGGTCATTACTGTCATGCTTGTTAATGTCCCATGGCCTCTTTATCTGTAGACAGTGGTGGATTTAGGGTCTGGTCAACAGGGGTGCATGGGGGGGGGGGTGCAAAAATGACATTTATCCTAATTCTAACCAACTTATGTTAAGGAATTCAGTTGCGTATCACCAGTTGACAATAGCGGAATAGCCAATATTAAATATTCTGAATTTTTAAATGTTTTGAGAATCTAAAAATTTTTCAGAATGCTGGAAATGCCAAATTTTAAAGATTTTCTGGAGAGTACGCCCCCGGACCACCCTAGAAATCTCGCGCCTTCGGCGCTCGTTTCGCCATTGGTTAGCACCCCCCAAAAAAACTTTGCTGGATCCACCACTGTCTGTAGACCTACCTGATTATGTAATAGGATTTACTCATATGAGGCAAAACTGAGAGTGGGTGATATAACCCTCAAAATTAGTGAGTGAAGTGAGGGAACTAATTTATTTTCATATCGACCATAAGAAGCATTATAGTTGCATTATAGAAAATATAACTGCATTAACAACAACGCAAAAAGTACTTACTATTTTACGTATACTTATTATTTATTTTTTAATAAATAGTCTTACAAGAACGCAAAAGGAAAAGATCTTTTGAAGACGCATTAATGAGCAATCCCTACAGACATGCGAAAATGAAAAGATGGAAGGTTTTTACCGAAGCAGAAATCGCTCGTGCATCATCTAAAATTGAACAGACAAGGCGAAAATTTTGGAATGATAAAGCAGAGCAACTGGCTTCACTGAAACCGAAAAGATCGGGTATGAACAAAACAACTGTTTATGGGATCATTGATGTATCATGGACTCTACGAAAGACGGCGATCATTGAAAACAACGTGAACGAAACGCTAGATAAAGAAAAAATTATTTTGGGTCAAGACGGAATGAAGAAGATAGGTTCGCAAAAAAAGGAAACTATCCCAAATAATTTGCAGAGGATGGAAACAGCTAATTTGAATGTTCAGCGTGCAAATGCTAATTTAGAGAAAGTAAAGGAAGAGTTTGAAAAAGCAAAGAGCACGGTAGAAGAACAAAAATTAAAAAGCAATGGAAAAGAAGTAAAGATGATTTGGACGAGGCCTATACTAAGCTAAAACAAGCGCAAGATGCTACAATGAAAGCGTTGGTAGTTAAACAGCAACAGTTAGAAAAGTACCTGACATCGAATGAAAAGAAAATGGACCAAATGAAAATAACCATGAAGGACACAATGGGATTATAAGCTCACATTAAATATCTGGCGAGTAAATTAACAAAGCAAGAAATGTAGCGAACAATAGTTCATAATTTGGCCAACATTGATTGACTGATGCAAAATATAACATGCATTTTCTTAGTTATCATAAGATAGGTAAACAGTAGGAGGATTCCGTCTTCAGTTCAGGTTTCTACTAACTTACGATTTTGTGTTCTGTTCTGTTGTGGTATTTTGTATTATCATTGAAGACTGAAATAAATATATTTTATATGTTAAACAAATTACTGATGGTTAAGAACTTAAGGAATAGGGAACATATTTTTACATACTGTACTTTGTTTATTTTGCTTGCTATACGTGATTCAATGTACATTTCAAGGCTTCTAGTTTGCGTCGGCGTTTAACTCTCGGCTCGCTCTTGTTCACAAAACGTTTCAATTGGAAACGGAGCAACATTCTGGGGCCAGCGAGGCTGAGGAAAGATTTGTCGAAGAAGACACACGGCCAAAATAGCCATTGCGAATGAAACAAATTACTGATAGTTAAGAACATAAGGAATATAACATATTTTTTACAGTCGATTTCACAAAACTTTGACCACAAATGTTCTGAACTTCGTTGTGAAGTTCGCAAGTTTGTTGCGAAGTTCAAAAATTCATAATGAGATCCACAAACCAGTTTCAAGGCGTCTCGATTCCGTCAGGGTTTAACCGTATTGGCTCCCTCCTGTTTTTAATGAATCGTTGGGAAACGGAGCAACATTCTGGAGACGACAATAGATAGCTTAAGATCTCTGACAGCTAGGACGTCAGGGTTAAGCAGAGGACTGGGACTAGGATGTCGTCTTAAATAAGTAAATAGATAGCTTAAGATCTACGACGTCGACGTCAGCTAGGACGTCAGGGCTCAATCTCGTTCCCCGAGGCTGCGATCCTCGGGAAGGAACGCGAGGCTCTGGGATAATCCGTTTCAGGGAGGAATCTGATTGGCCGTTGAAATGGAATGCGTATAGTAGTTCAATCTTAGCCAGAATTCCTGGCTTCCGGCAACGGATTATCCCAGAGCCTCGCGTTCCTTCCCGAGGATCGCAGGCTCGGGGAACGAGATTGGTCAGGGCTATGCAGAGGACTGGGACTAGGATGTCGTCCTAATGTAGTCCCAGTCCTCTGCTTAGCCCTGACGTCCTAGCTGGCGTCGACGTCGTAGATCTTAAGCTATCTATTAGCTCAATATCTACGACGTCAAATATTTAGGACGGCAAGCGGAAGTAAATTGGTAATAGTTTTTGAAGTGTGCATGTGTCTCATTCAATTCGCTCGTCGTCCACCAAACGTCGACAACCTCACAACAACAGTTTTACCGTCGTGGATACAAGAGCATAACAAACGGTAATGGATTCACACGTCTCTTTTAAATTTATTTTCAAAAGGATGTAAATATTTATAGTTTAAATGTAGACGTCGTGAATCTTAAGTGGAAGTTTATTTATTTAGGACGACGTCGTAGTCCCAGTCCTCTGCTTAGCCATGACATCCTACTGTAGCTGACGACGTAGATCTTAACAGCCATTGCGAATGAAACAAAGTACTGATAGTTAAGAACTTAGGGAATTAACATATTTTTCAACATTCCAAAGGTTTCCAATACATAGTTTACAGGAAATGATGAATTTGCAGTGTACCCATAATTATGAATTAGTGTTTTGATTACACCTCAAACGTCGTACATCTGCCCTTTTTATGGTCTGGTCGCAGGTTAAACTTTGGAAGAAGGCATGTTTCCAATCCACTTACTTACCTGATTGGATAATAAATTTTAAATATGCAGTCAATTCAATTATTGTAACTAGTAACACATTTAAAGTTGTTTGTCACAAAACGTTTCAATTGAAAAATATTTGTAAATTGTGAAACGTTTTGAAACCTAATTCTAGAGTCCAAGTAAACTTATAGCGAATTTAAAAATACATCCCCCGTGTAACCTACCATCGCTCGGTCTCCCTGTTTAGACGTGCACGAATCCCCTGAAATTCGTCGTCCTGATGGACAAACCCTAAGAATTTTTTTAAAATTCAGGCTATCCCTCAGAAAACCTCATCCCCAATAGCATGCTGCTCAGAATTTTTCATATTTTAGACAACCCTTCGGATAAAGTTTTATTCGATGTTATAAACGTCAAGAAATTTTAGTAAATTAGGGATGACCCTTAAGAAATTTTAATAATTTACAGGCAACCCTTAAGAATTTTGTTAAAATTCAGGGGGTGTATATTAAATGGAATGGCCCTTTCTCCTCTAGGTGTATATTTTGGTGTGTGTTCGTGGCGATCATTTGGTCAAATCAAATCAAAAGGGGCCGTTCATATTATGTTTTTCAAAAAAGCAGTGAATTGTGAACTCGATGTACCTGTACCAAACTTGCCAGGAATGTGTGAACTCGCTATATTTTATACTTTATACTTTATACAAGCGAATTGAGATCTCGCTAGCTGGGCAATCGTTGACGTTGGCAATAATAAAGTTGTATACTGAGAATGTCAAAAGATCAAGCCAACAAGGTATTGTATATCAAATTTTACAAATATATAGGTTGTATGGCAATTAGAAAATTGCCAATAAAAATAGTTGTTTTTTGCACTAAAATGATTATTAATATTTTTATTATGGGAATATGATACATTGCAGTATAAAAGCCCTGCATAAAAGAACCAGTGAATTTTGACTTCAGGCTGAAGTGGTTCTTTAATCTTTATATATAATCTTACTTCACACTATACTTTTTTATATTCTACACATTAAATAGGGACTGTTGTTGCATAAAACTATTGCTATACACTAATATGGTTCTTGTTGCATATTATTATATCTAAACTGTAAAAACAATTAAAACTTTGGCTGCTTATTAAATTGCCAAAACTTCAGGCTAGTGGTTCTTTTATGCGGGGCATAGACCTTATGCATAATGACGTCTCAAGGCTTGGTGCCTGCGAGGAATACTGGTCTTAGTAGTCATGACGGTCCAGGAAAATTTCAATAGTGGCCATTTTGAATTGTTTAATTCTCCCGGGCGATGACCAGCATTCCTTGCGGGCATCAAGCATTATGACATCATTATGCATAAGGTCAAATGAGCAGTATGATGTCCGAATTGGAAGACACAATTGCATACGAATGAAAAATTATCTGAGTGACTTGTTTTCGATAATGCTCGCAATTTCTTTCTTATTATATAGTTTTGCAGTTCTGACTACTGAGTGCAATCTTAGTCATTTATACAATGAATGGTGTCATACGAAGCTGACGTATTAAACAAAAATGTCAACAAAATAGATTTTGTCTCTCCATTGGCTGATTGCTCAGTTGTTCTGCAGTAGGGGTGGCCTTGAAAGTGCCATTAAAATGATAATTGGGACAAAAACTGACTTACTGGTAGTATTTCTATGTATGAAATTGTTATTAAATTCTACATATCCAATGATTCATTCAAGTATTACTAGAAAATACATGCATGCAGAAACCCTCGCCTTGCTGACAAAACCGTTGTATTTTCCGAAAAGGAAGTATCTAGAGTAGTTGTCATGGTAACACGATAATTTTTTAAGAATATTCTTACAAATGAAAATCGCCTAAAAATATCACTTTAATTACAAAATTATCAATTTCTTAACATATATATGTTAGGTATATAATTATACGTAATACAAGCTTCAATTTAAGGTAAAATTCAACCACAAACAATTCACAAAACGTTTTAAAGTGTTCTTTATAAAACTAAACTGCCTTTAACTATTAAATGGCTTTATTGTCGAGAATTATGCATAGTTTGTTAAAGGACACTATAGTTAATCTTATATGACCTTTAAGCGTAGTATTTGCTTGCGCATGCGCGTTAGTGATCGCCTTACGAACACGTTTTAGATTCGTAACATTCATATAAAACGACCGTTTTGGACCATAGTTTTGGGACTTTATGTTAGTTATGTCTTGTATTAAGATGTCAAATATATTCATATAAACAATCCACATTTTGGTGCCGTGACCAGTTGTATTATGGAAGAATTACAAAGACTTCGAGCGTCCCGAAAAGCTTATCGAGCACACCTCACAACACTTTACAAGAAGATTATAGAATTGAAATCCGCCACGACTATCGATGAACTTCACATTGCCACGCTCGAAAACTATTGTCAACAACTCAAAAGAAAGAAAGACATCTTATCACCACTCGATGAACAAATTGCGAAAGCTATCACCAAACCCGAAGACCTTGAATGTGAGATTTTTGAAACGGAAGAAATGCACAGCACAATCGACGAAAGGTACAGTGAACTTACCACATTTATTGAGATAAAACGTAACGAATTAAAGCTTAAAGTTACTGTACAATCATCCAATAACACTAATGAGTCATCCCCAGAAACCTCACCCCAATCAGAACAGCCTATTCAACAGGAAAATATCCATCAACCAGAAATGAGTCAAAGCCCAGTTGGACCCAATTCCCAAACAGAGGAAACCTCAGCTTCCAACAACACTATTCAAAATCAAACACTGATAAATAACAATAACAATGGTGCCAGTGCCAGTGGTTCTTATCCATCAGTTAGTCGACTGCCAAAGTTATCCCTACCTACATTTTCTGGGGACCCCATTGCCTGGCAAAACTTCTGGGACTCGTTTAAGACAACCATCCATTTAAACCATACACTGCATGATGTTCAAAAATTCAACTATCTAAAGGCTCAACTTACAGGCGATGCAGCTCGAGTTATAGCAGGTTTCTCTATCACAAGTGCCAACTACAAACATTCAATTGATCTCCTAATTGAGCGTTTTGGTCAACAACAAAAGATTGTCAATGCACACATGCAACGTTTGCTTGACCTACCCAAACCCGACACAGGGCTCATAAGTCTTCAGCTTTTCTACGACACAATAGAGAACCACATCCGAGGCCTTGCCTCACTTGGCCAGTCAAAAGATTCCTATGGGGCCCTTCTTATACCAATAATTTTGGGGAAATTACCAGCTGAAGTTAGGCGAAACCTAGCCCGAGAACATCACACCTTAGAATGGTCAATTGACCAACTGCGAGATGCCCTCCTTAAAGAAATCAAGATCCTTGAAGCTGGTCTGCACATAGACAAAACTAAATCAGAGCTTAGTCCTGCCCACACTGCTACAGCTGCATTTCATACTGGTTCAGGGGGGGACAACAATACTCAGAAAAGAAATCAAGGTGACAAGACCCCACACTGTGCATACTGTAAGGGTACACATTCCTCACTTCGGTGCGAAGTAGTGACTGATCCAGAAAAACGATTGACGATTATTAAACAAGCAAACTTGTGTTTTAATTGCCTTGGACACCACAAGGTGTCACAGTGTCGATCCAAATATGGTTGCAGAACATGTACACGCAAACATCACACCAGCTTGTGCAAACCTCAGAAAGCACCCATCAAAGATCCCCCAGAACGGGCAAACGAGCAACAAGGGGAAAAATCTGTCCACACCACACTAATCCCTGCGGCCCCAACATCAATCGTAAACACTCAAGGAAACGAAACTACTATTTGTTTACTGAAAACCGCTATTAGTACTGTCTCCTTAGCTAACCAAAGAGCTGTTGCAAACATTTTGTTTGACGAGGGAGCCCAGTGCTCTTTTATCACCCGTGAATTAGACGACAAGCTTCACGCATGTCCCCAACAAACTAAAGATATCCAGATTTCAACATTTGGGGGAGAACAACCAACCAGTCACACATTAGAAACCGTTACCATCAACATCGAAAGCATCACAAGTGAGAAAATACCAGTTAGTGTTTTGGTCGTTCCAAAGATTGCCACACCTTTGCAAAATCGTATTCGCACCAACGTCCGGACTCTCCCATACCTAAAGGGAATCCCACTCGCCCACCCAATCACCTCAGACGAGAAATTTGAAGTCTCGCTCTTGATTGGAGCAAATTACTACTGGGAAATAGTCCAAGACCATATTATCGGAGGAGCTGGTCCAACAGATATGGAGTCTAAACTTGGATATCTGCTATCGGGACCCTTACCCCTGGGAGAAGCCCCATCAAACACCACCATGTTAAATGTCATTACCATGCCTCATCATCAAGTAGAGAGCATAGACCCCAATCGGTTTTGGGATCCACCACTTTTAGATTTGTTAATGACCCCCACAGAAACCAACGACCAGACTGCGATTGGGAACTTCAAGGAAACTAACATCACTCGCTCTCCTGATGGAACTTATTGTGCAAGATTTCCATGGAGGACTGAGCATTGCCCACTACCATGCAACTACGCTGTATGTGCGAAGAGAACACGACTTCTAGCTCGTCGCCTTGGACTGGACCCCAAACTCTTGAAGACCTATAGCGTCATCGTTGCAGAACAAGAAGAGAAAGCATTCATTGAAAAGGTGTCTACGACCAGCATGTCAGATAAGATCCACTACATCCCCCACCACCCTGTAAAAAAGGACTCTACCACCACACCTATTCGCATTGTATATGACTGTAGCTGCCGCCAGTCAACAGACCACCCAAGTTTGAATGATTGTCTTCTGCCAGGGCCACCATCGCTAAATGATATGTGTTCAATTCTTCTGCGCTTTCAAACCCACCCATTTGCATTTTCCACCGATATAGAGAAGGCATTTCTACATGTTCAACTCCACGAAGGTGACAGAGACTGTACCCGATTCCTGTGGCTTTCCCAACCTGATGATCCCGAAAGCGTGTTTCAAGCCTACCGATTCAAAGTTGTGTTGTTTGGTGCTACATGCTCACCATTAATGCTCAGCTCAGCACTCGAATCCCACCTCGACCAATACAGTTCAAAGATTGCTACCGACATGAAAGAAAACCTATATGTTGATAATCTCATTTCCGGACAGCCCACCGAAAATGATGTCACCCACTATTACAAGTTGGCGCGATCCATTATGTCCTCTGGTAACTTCAACCTTCGAGCTTGGGCATCCAACAGTCCACAACTTAAGAGCCTCTGTCTACAAGAACGAACTGCTGATACTAAAACTACTGTTAACGTTCTCGGCCTCCAGTGGAATACGTTGACAGACACTTTGTCCCTCACCCCTAAGCACATCTCCCCATCCCTCAACTTACCGACCAAAAGAGAAGTCCTCAGCAATTCCTCGAAGATCTATGACCCACAGGGCCTGTTATCCCCGGTTACTATTAGAGCTAAGTTACTCATGCAAGAATTGTGGCTACAAAATATCGAATGGGACGAACCACTTTCACAAGAACTGAGCGAGAAGTGGTTAAGCATAGCCGAAGATATCGACATTGTTTCAGAGACCATGAACGTTCCGAGATGCCCCATCACAATCATTCCTAACGATACCATGCCCGAGCTCCATGTCTTCTCGGATGCAAGTATAAAGGCCTATGGCGCCGTTGCATATCTCCGACACGGTCCGCAAATCGCAATTCTTGTGGCTAGAACACGTGTTGCACCCCTGAAGAAACTAACCCTACCTAGACTCGAGCTTATGGGTGCTGTCACCGCCGCACAGTTGGCCAGCTATGTCAAGAACGCACTTGCTACAACTACCATGTACAGTGACCTCACTGTGAGACTTTGGACGGACAGTCAAATAGTCTTACATTGGTTGTCCAGCAACAAACGTCTAAGCCAGTTCATCACGAACCGTGTTCAAACAATCAAAGATCTACTTCCCAAGGCAACATGGGGATATTGTCCAACCAACGATAATCCGGCGGATCTACTTACGAGAGGCTTAAGTGCAACCCAACTTTGTTCTTCAGTCCTTTGGAAACAGGGTCCACCTTGGTTAACGTGCGAGTCCAAGTGGCCGACGTGGTCCTCAACCGACTTATCCCCTACTCTGACACTAGCAATTTCATCAGAAGAAATCAACCACAACGCAACCGAAAGAGACAGCATTCCCACGGAACATCGCCAACCCGGAATACACCGCATCATTGACATCGAGAAGTACAGCAAACTAAATCACCTACTACGAGTTACAGCCTACGTCCTGCGATTCATTGCTCTCCTAAGAAAAGACAAAAGTGACACTTCTGGACCCCTCACCGCGAAAGAATTGAACCTCGCCGAGCAGATATGGACTCATTCCTGTCAAAGTACTACCTTCCCCAAGGAAATCGAGAACCTGTCTTCCAAAACATCCCGAAGATTACCACTCATACGACAACTGCGTCTTTTCCTCGACACCGACAATTTGCTTCGTTGTGGCGGGAGGATTCACAACGCGCCATTAAGCACGTCAGCGAAGTTTCCATACCTCCTACTAAGAACCATCCTTTCACAGATCTTGTCGTATACAACGCCCATGAAAACATATTCCACAGTGGTGTGAACTCCACAATGACCACCAGTATATGAGAAAATTGTTGAGACGGTGAGTGTAGTATATGAGAAAATTGTTGAGACGGTGCGTAAATTGTCGTAAGGTCACTGGTACTGTTACGTCAGACCTATTGGATCCCATCCATCCGCCAGTATGTGAGAAAATTGTTGAGACGGTGCGTAAATTGTCGTAAGGTCACTGGTACTGCCTATACACGCCCCGATCCACCTCCACTGCCCAAGTCGAGAACAACCGAGACAGAACCCTTTACGACAACCGGCGTTGACTTCACCGGAGCCCTTTACGTACGTGATAACAATGGCGAAACGAAGGTGTACATCTGCCTCTTCACATGTGCTGTAACCAGAGCTGTACATTTAGAGATTGTGACAGACCTATCCACTGAGTGTTTTCTGAACGCATTCAGGAGATTTGCAAGTCGCAAATCGTTGCCACAAAGGATGATCTCGGATAACGCATCAACTTACTTATCGGCTGCAGACGAACTTAGAGCTCTCTTCAATTCACAAGCACTGCACGACTCTCTCAGCAAACGAGGAGTAGAATGGCAATTCATTCCGAAAAGGGCGCCTTGGTTTGGAGGATTCTGGGAGCGCTTGATTGGTCTAACCAAAACCACCTTGAAGAAGATCCTTGGACGCGCATATATAAACCTAGAGGGTCTACAAACGATCATAGTCGAGATCGAAGCTGTCCTCAATGACCGCCCTATAACCTATGTCACATCCGAAGCCGACGATCCAGAACCCTTGACACCTTCCCACCTTCTCTACGGACGACGCGTCAGAAGATTACCTCGCCTAATCGTTGAAGAAGAGGAACTACACGATCCCAATTTCGACGACGATTCCGAAGTTCGAGAAAGAGCCAGGAAACAATCGATAATAATACAATCCTTTTGGATGCGGTGGAGGCACGAGTATCTCACCTCACTTCGTGAATTCCACAAAACAACAGGCACAAACGAACAGAAAGTCAAGCAAGGTGACGTTGTGTTAGTTCACGATGACGGTCCCAGAGCCAACTGGAGACTTGCCGTAATTGAGAACCTCGTTAGTGGAAACGATGGACTGATTCGATCTGCCGATATTCATACTAGCACTGGTAGAACCAACCGACCTATTGCTCGTCTCTACCCTCTCGAAGTTTCAACCAAACAGGAAGCAAAACCCATCCTATCATCAGAGAAACCACCACCAGCCTCGGAACCCCCACATCGCCCAAGGAGAGAGGCTGCTGTAAAAGGACGCGAACGAATTTCGCGTTGGACACAGAAACTTTCCCTCCCCCCGGAGGATGTCGAGAATTATGCATAGTTTGTTAAAGGACACTATAGTTAATCTTATATGACTTTTAAGCGTAGTATTTGCTTGCGCATGCGCGTTAGTGCTGGCCTGACGAACACGTTTTAGATTCGTAACATTCATATAAAACGACCGTTTTGGACCATAGTTTTGGGACTTTATGTTAGTTATGTCTTGTATTAAGATGTCAAATATATTCATATAAACAATCCACACCAACCTATCATGAGTTGCTGCTTCACTGATCAATATTTTTTGCTATATGCAAACGTGTATCTATTTTCCCAGTTTATGTCTCCACCGTTATTGCAAGTTGACTGATTTATCTTTAAACCTGCTTTATTAATGTCATAATCTTACATCATGGCTGTTCATAGTTAGCCTTTATGGTTATTACAGGCAATCGACTGTATGTTAATTTAAATTTAAGCACTTATAAAACTTTCAATAAAGTTCTTCTATATGCAGCGATGGAGGATTGCCGCAGGCTTGACTGGGTTAGGAGGGAAATAATATCTCCCAATTTTGTGGCAGCAGAACTGGAGGGATGTCCGTTGCGCAGGAATTCATTGAGGCTGGTGCCTCGCACTTGAAGGTTTGAACCTGAAAGTGAGACAAGAGATCAGCCAAACGATTGTACGTCCCTGGAATATGTTTGGCTTTAAATAAGATATTGTGTTGCAAGCATACAAGGACAAGCTTACGAACAAATTGCATCAAACTTTTGTCCCTACATGATTGCTTATTGATGACGTAAACCAGAGCCTCATTGTCAGTGAAGAACAAAACACTGCGGTTTGCCATCCCATGACCCTACAAGCATAAACTCAGTACAATCGGATAAAACTCTAGAATTGCAATGTTCCGATGCCGCCATGTATCAGGCCATAAACCATAGCAGTATTCTGAGCCAAATATTGTGCCAAAACCGACACCACCCGCAACACCTGCGAATAAACTTAGTTGCTGAGAATTAGCCCATCGTTCATCAACAAAAAACGACCGGCCATTATAATTGGCAATAAACACGAGCCAAACATTTAAATCCTCTTTTCACTCGTGATTGAGCTTAATGAAGTGATGAGATAAACGGATGCCGGTGGGAGAGGTCAATTAAGCGATGCAAAAATGCCCGTCCTGGGATGATGACAGAACAGGCGAAATTTAAGAGGCCAATTAAAGATTGCAATTCTCTTAATGTGATATTCTTACGCTGTCGAAATGCGGTGATAAAATCAGTACATTTGCATAATTTATCTAAAGGTAAATGCCAAGGGTTGGAAAAAGTATCAGAACCTGGGAACTTTTTTTGAGTTGAGAGTTTTGCAGAAAATTTTCCAGGAAATATTTCAACATTTTGAGATAACTCTGTTTACTCAACTTACAAGTTACAACAATTCTACTTTATTTACACTGTACACGCTAACATCAGCAGCTTTTAAATATTTGACGGAAATTAATTCTTTTACCTACCCCTGCCATCACAATGACTGGTAAAATGGTAAATATATGCTCTGCAAAGTCTCCAATAAAATGCA